ATCCCCACGTTACCCCCTACCCGCCCCCACTCATGCCCTCACCCCCCTGGTGTCTGTGTCCATTGGTTAGGCCTATATGCTTGCATATAAGTCCTTTGGTTGATCTCTCCCCCTTACCCCCACCCTCCCCTACCTTCCCTCTGAGGTTTGATGGTCTGATCGTTGCTTCTCTGTCTCTGGATCTGTTTTTGTTCATCAGTTTATGTTGTTCATTATATTCCACAAATGAGTGGAATATCAAAAAATATTTTTATTTCAGAGAGGAAGGGAGAGGGAGAGATAGAAAGATCAACGATGAGAGAGAATCATCAATCTGCTGCCTCCTGCATCTCCCCATGGGGATCGAGCCCACAACCCGGGCATATGTCCTGACCAGGAATCGAACCTCAACCTCCTGGTTCATAGGTTTATGCTCAATCACTGAGCCATGCCAGCTGCGCTGTAGTTATTTTTCTAGAGGGGCAGATTTCATTTAGGATTTTTCTAAAATCTTTCTTATAAACATTTATCTGCTGTGTTTATAAGTCAACAGTAATTGATAAGAAGTTTGTGTGGCTATGCAGCCCCTTTCAGCCCCAATTCTTAATTAATTTAAGTATGTAATGTGGTATAAATGAGAGGTCAGCAAACTTTAAATTCTAGATACATAAATGCCACTGAATTCAAAACAATAATTGCAAATAGGAAATTGTACTTACATATTTCCATGGAATTTTTTAGAAGCCTTGCTAGAAACAGTTATTTTTTTCTCAAAGGGAAAAAAAAAAATTAACAAATAAGTTAGCTGTCAAGTACAGAAAAAAAAAGGCAAAAAAAAACAACACAACAAAATAAAACAAAGCAAAAGTAAATGGTTTGTAAAAAAAAAAGTTTTTTTTTAAATCAACTGTTTCTCATTTAAAAACAAAAACTTGAAACATTTGTTTTCTTACTGAAGATTTAACTACTTTCCAGCCTGATGTATCTTGACTGTAACCTAAAATATCTTGAGTGGTTTGTTGGGCAAGTACCTTATAGTCCATCTACCTGCAAAGTTTTAAAAAGAAATGATTGGTAAGAATGTGACCATGCAAAGCGTTTTAAAATGCTGTGTTACATTTGATTCCTGTTTCTACAGTGCTGCTCACAAGGCAATGAGCAATAATTACTTGTTGAATGCCCGCAGGCAAGAGCCCCTTCCTCCCTGTTCGCAATGAGAAAATGTGGACGTGGCATCGTGGCATTGTACAAAGGCCAAGGCGAGGCTCTGGAGTCAGAGAGACCTGGCTCACCTCCGGTCTCTGCCATGGGCTAATTGTGAACCACGTTATTTGATATTTCTGTTTCCCCATTTTCTCAAGCTTTAAAACTGGGATAGTACCTAACCCTGTAGAAGTAATGTGAGGACTAAGTGCGATAATGCACTTAAATGTCCTACCCCATTGCTAGGCATATAACCACCAAAAGATCATTATTATTTCTATCAGCTTCATCATGCTTTTTTGCTTGTGTAAAGCACCACAATCTGTTGACCAGGTGTTCTTGGAAATTAATCTTTTTAAAGTGAGTGGCAGTGGCTCTAAATGATGTGACCCCTGGCTTCCTCTCCAACGGCAACTCCTGTCTTCGACTCTCCCACTTAGCTGTTGTTCCTCAGAAGCAACTAAGCATCTTCCTACCTCAGGGCCATTGTACTTGCTGTTCCCTCTGCTTGTAACACTCTTCCCCAATATGGATGGATGACTGCGCTTCACTGGCGTCTTTGTTTAAATGTCAGACGGGATATAAAGTTAGAATCAATTCAGTAGGGGTTAGGTATCGAGGTAGGTGTGGCAAATACGGTTGAGTAAGATATTGTTGCTGCTGTGAATGAGCTCAGGAGCTGGAGTCTCATCGATCCTTTGGCCCATCACCTAGTTTTCAGTTAAGAGAAGCTGGCTGGTGTGGTGGGAAGAGGGTGACAGCACAGAGCTGGATTCAAATCCTGCCTTTGCCACTCACACCAGCTATATCATTTTGGGTAAATTGCTTAACCTGAATTTCAACTTTCATATCTATGCCTTTTTTCATAGACACAGATAATAATACCTATCTCATGGGGTCATCGTAAGGATTGAGTTAATATGTGTAAAAGTGATTGAAACAGTGTGGAGCCCCTTCTTGGTGATCAAAAAGGTTAGTTTCTGTTCTTAAAATGGACACATCTAGAACTACCTTTTAAAGAAACTCTCCAAAGAGCTGCCTCACTAAACCTTCTTAACGTTTAATTATCAGGACATGTCTTCCTTAGCTCTCACCTAAAGCTCTTTAGGCTGGAGCGTAATCTATTTTTCTCCTGTTTAGTTCTCCATCAAGGCATGACACCTGGTTGACATCTCTGCTTGAAAAGCTTTCATAAACCACTGTAACTCCTCTTTTCCTGGTAGATTCTTAAGTTTCTTTATCTTTCCTAATAGATCTAGTCCAGAATTTTAATAACTATTGGGACTCTTCTCCAAATCCTCCTGGAGGTCTCCATATCTCTTAAACTGCGAAGTAGAATTATTTTTATCCATGAATTACGTCAATTTATTTGATATGTTCCTTTATATCTTCTCAGTGTCCTTTATTTACACTTTATGCTCTTATCAGGAAACATGTGCACATTACATATGCTCCGAGATGGAAGAAAAAGGTAGTAAGAGAAACATTAAAGATACTGTCAATGAAAAGAACTGTTAAATTATTTTAAAGAATGACAGGTTAAAAAACATTTAGGTGGAACGTGGATTTAAAAAGTCTAACTTTTTAAAAAATATATATATTTATTTCAGAGAGGGAGAGAGAGGGAGAGAGAGATAGAAACATCAATGATGAGAGAGAATCGTTGATTGGCTGCTTCCTGCAGGCCCTCTACTGGGAATCAGTCCTGCAACCCAGGCATGTGCCCTTGCCCGGAATCGAACCCAGAACCCTTCAGTCTGCAGGCGAGGCTCTACCCACTGAGCCAAACCGGCCAGAGCAAAAAGCCTAAGTTTTTAGGCTCATGCCATTAGCAGTCTGTGGCTGGCCCCTGACCTGGATTTGTCTCAGCAAATACAAGTTATTTATTTCCGACCAGCAACAAACATGATATTGACTGCTTTAGGAATTGCACAGATGATAGAAACATACCGGTAGAGTGTCAATCGCAGGGGCTCTGTCCTATTCGTTGTCAAATCACCTAGCACTTACTGCCACAATAAACATGTGTTTAACAGAACCACTCAACTGAATGTTACCGTTTCTGGATGTTTTTCATTTGCTAAGAAAAAAGGGGGGAAGATTAAGTGCAGGGAGCTAGAGAGGATGAAAACAAGAGAGCAAACAGCAAGAATGCCCGGCATCACCTGGTGGCGGGACATGGGCCGCGGGGAGTGTGTTCCGCCGGGGTCACCCAGGTGCCTTCGCCCGCAGGGTCAGTGGGAAAGAAGCCTCCGCCGACACCGCGATGGCATCTTTTTGATCCACCACCTGGTTGAAACTGGATTCTTCGCACCTCAGAGGCTGAGCCAGCCTTGCAGACGGTTCACACACGTTGTTACGTGGGTCTTTACATCGGTTTGTACAGCATCATCTCCCTCTTCCCGGGCTGCCTGCCTGGCTCCCCCATCCGCGCTGGGTCGCCGCCATTCTTCCTGGAAATCCAGGTCCCCACGGGGTCGGTTGGATCCCAGCCCTCCTTCCTCCAACCCCGCATCGGCTTTGAGTGTGAGGGGCTGGGCAGCCCCGGAGGGCCGGGCTCGGGGAGAAAATGGGGAAGTGACTGGGGAGGGAGGGGAGGAAGCGGTCGGGGACGCTGCCCCTGGCCCAGGTGATGCCTTATCCCGGAAAGGGGTGCTCTGAAAGCGGGGAGACCAGCTCACTTGGAAGGACTGGGGAGGTGGGGCCGGCGCTCGGAGACCCGAAACGTCAGCCGCACGCGCCCCAAATCTCCCCGACCGAGTCCCCTCGCTCAGCCCCGGGAGCCGGCGAGAGGAGGCTCGGCCGGTCATCCGCGCAGGCTGGACAACAGCAGCAGAGACGGAGGTGGCGGAGGTCGTGCGTAGTCCATAGACGAACACCCACCCCAGAGAGAGGCGTGGGGAGAAACTACACTTCCCAGCAGGCAGCGCGACCGAACGCCCCGCGGCGCCGCGTTCCCCTCCGGCACTCCGCCCCTCGGGGTCTCGCCCCGGGCGCCCGAGCGCCACGCATGCGCACCGCGAGCCGGCGCCATGTTGGGTCAGTTTGAAAGCCCGCGCGCTGCGCTGTGACGGCGGAGGATGCTGTGAGCGAGCGAGCGGAGCCTGAGGCGCGGCGGGGTCCGACCGGGATGCTTTGTTGCGTCTCCCGCCGGGCTACAGGCCTGGGTTCTCGGTGGGCAGTTGTGAAGTGTGCGTGTTTATTTCTCTCTCGTCCGGACCTTTGTCGGAGAGTTCGGCCCGAAAAAAGGGGGGGAGGGTTTCGAGGGGCGACCGGTCCTTTGACAGCCCGAGGGAAAGGCTCCGGGAAGGGGGGCGGGGAGGGAAGGGGAAGGCGACTCTTGCGGGAGGGCGCCTGCGGAAAAGGGACAGTTTTAGGGGGAGGGTCGCGGACCGGGACCGAGGTACCCGACCTGGGTCTCGGGGAATCGAGGTGCCGACTGAAGTGAGGGTGGGGGCTTTGGGGGCCGTCACCCCGAGGATCTCGGTTGCTCCCCGTTCGCTCCCGAGGCGCTAATGCTCCAGCCTGAAGCCGTGTCCGATGGCGGGGGCCCCGGAGGCAGGGCGTGTCCGGGGCGGGGCGCCGGCTGCCCGCTTACTCCTCTTCTGCCGCCGACGATGCTCCAGTGCCGGTTCTGTCCCGGGCGCCCCGGAGCCGTGCGGTCTGAGGCCCGTTCCCTGAGGGTGAGCTGCTCCCGTCGGCGCCTCGGTGCGGACACGGTGTTTCCGAGTCGGAGGCGGCTGACGGTTCCTGCGTTCCCCGTTCTGTTCGGGTGATGGGTTTCCCTACGGGCGCGGAGACGCACGGGTGTTGATGGAAGAAAAAGATGCTGGGGATTTGCTGCCAGATCCCCCGGGGGGAGAAGTGCGGGCCTGTCGGGCACTGTTTGAAGCCGAGTGACAGCTGCGGAGGGGGCGGTTAAGTATTTCTACTTTTGTGTCCTTTCGGGAACTTGGCACAATGGTAGTTCGATTGCCCCGCCCGCCCGTGTAGCCCAGTCCCCGTGGGCCGGACCCCAGCTGCAGGCTAACCTGCTGGCGGGAGCTCTGCCCCCTGGTGGCCAGCGCCCGTCACAGCTAAGGGTGGAAGTGCCGCTTAGGCTTTCCAGGTGCGCAGCTGCATAATCCATTCTCTGTAAGGAGTTGGCTCTCAACCTTCCTAATGCCGCGACCCTTTAATACAGCTCCTCATGTTGTGGTGACCCCCAACCATAAAATTATTTTCGTGGCTACTTCATAACTGTAATGTTGCTACTGTTATGAATCGTCGTGTAAGTATCTGATATGCAGGATGTATTTTCATTGTTACAAATTGAACATAAAGCATAGTGATTAATCACAAAAACAATATGTAAATTATATATGTGTTTTCCGATGGTCTTAGGCGACCCCTGTGAAAGGGTCGTTCGACCCCCAAAGGGTCTCGACCCACAGGTTGAGAACCGCTGGTATAAGGAGTTGTGTGCTCTCCACCTAGTCTCCTCTCCTTGGGTCACCATGTGTTTGACCCCTTTACCCCCTCCTGCCCCTTCCCCTCAGGTAACCATGCTGTTGTCTGTGTCTGGGTTTGTTGTTTTCTGTATTATAGCCCACATGAGTGAAATCCTACGGTTCTTGTCCCTTTCCGTCTGACTTCCTTCCCTTAGCACGATACTCTCCGATCCATCCATGTTGCAAGTGGCGCTGTTCCATCCTTTCTTGCCCCTGAGCAGTATTTCATTGTATTTATGTACCACGTGTCCTCTAGCCATCGCCCACGGAAGGACCCGTAGGTGGTTCCATGCCTCGGCTGCCGGGACGAGTTGCCTGGCCATTCTTGGGTGTTCACCAGGATCACCGCACTCGGCAAAGCAGGGGCTGAACATTGTTCTGTCGCTGCTTCCACCGGCTGCTTTCAGCTCTTGCAAAGGCGGTTGCACAGTTGAAGGCTGGGAGGAGGATGTGTTACTCTGTCTTTACTTTCTCAAATGGAAAACTTTCAGTATTTTAAAGTCAAATTTGACAGTTGTTTGGAAAAACAACATTGGAAGTTGTTATAACTTAAAACATTCCCAAAATACAGCCAAAAGTTAAACATATTAACTTTATAATATCATAGCACGTATTAAGTTCTAGACATTAATGTTTTATTCTCAGTACAGAAAACCCATTGATTTAATTTTAAAAGAATGTCACATTGTGCACTGAAGTAGTGCCTGTTCATTCTGTTATTTCTTAGGGCTTCAAATATAGATCTTGTTATTGTTATACTAAGGTAGACAGGAATTCTGCCCATCTTAGTGATGCAAAAACATTAAGATGAATACATTAAGTCAGTTTTCTAATTATTTAAGCCTCCTTTAAAAGAGAGGTAGTCTGAATCTATTTAATATAAGAATTGAATATAGTGAGGATAGTACCAAAAATGAAGGTCAGAAAATGATTATTAACAACTAGAGGCCCTGTGCACGGTTCCTCGGCCTGGCCTGGGCCCTCTCACAATCCAGGACCCCACCAGTGCACAATCGGGCCAGGGAGGAACCAATGGAGGGCTCCAGGGCGTGTCCAGCTCGTCTAGTCCAGTTCCCATCGGCAGGACCCCAGCAGCAAGCTAACCTACTAGTTGGAGCATCTGCCCCCTAGTGGTCAGTGTACATCATAGTAACGGTTGAATGGTCACTTAGGCTTTTATATAGATAGTTTTAGAAAAAGAACATTTTGCACGTTCATTTTATGGTATGACTTGTAGTTTATTTCTTTATATTTTGTTCTCAAGTCTTTTGGGGGTGAAGGAGTTGGCTAAAGTTACATATTGGTATTTACAACATTCTCCACTGTTCCTTCTTGTTGTTAATACCACATTTGATGCATTTAAAAATTTATTGAGGACCTACTATCGGTAGTGCATAGTGGTAGGCTTATGAATTGAGAAGTATTATGTATAAGGGAATGTTAAGTATTGTGATGTCATAGAATATATCACCATAAGAAAAGACTATGTAAATCAGTTGTTTTAGGACGTTTAAAAAAAGTGAGTACCCTTTCCTTCCTATACTTATGCATGTTCTCAGATAATCTTTGTATACATAATTCCAGGCACATAGTAAGTACTTAATAAATGTTTTCTAAACAAATGATGAAGGAATTCACAATAATTAAAATAATAAAAAATCTACAATGTGTATGGCCTTTAAAGACTTTATAGGTAATGGATTTTATTCTTTAAAGAAAATTATAAAAAGTTTATATATTGAATAATTTCTTTGTATATGGCTATTATTCCTTTCACTTGCAACCTTAACCTTTTGTTTTTGTATTACAGTGGTTTCTAAGAGAAATGAACAGAAATAACCCACTTTGAGGAAGGCATGGCAAAACCAAATACAAAACACAGAGTTTGTTCTCGGGAATCTTCAGTATCTTCTCTGTTAGCGAGCTGCAGCCTCAGTGGTAGTAATTCCTCTACCGCTGATGGCTCTGTTCAGTATAAGGATAAACTGTACAGTTCTGCATCTCAGGCTCTGCAGGCCTATATTGATGATTTTGATCTAAGCCGGATGTATCCTGGTGTAAGCACTGGAAAGATTAACATTGATAAATGTCCTGCTAATATGCCAGAATTCTCCAACTATATTTATAAACCAAACCATGGTATGCTTTTATTGTTTGTTTTATTTTTGTCCACTGATTTAAATCATTTGAAAGATGTGTTGTAGCCTTTGAAATCCAGATGCTTCTTTTTTTATTCTTTTGGGGTAAAAATTACTTTTATAATGTTGAGATCTGAATATATTTCTTAAAGGACTGTATACTTATCTAGTACTTAGGAATTTTCAGCTAAGATCCCCTTGCAACCTTGGAGTGGAAGCTGATGAATTACAGCAGGTGGCTGGTTCTAAATCCTTAAGCCGTTTATAATGGCATCATAGAAAAAGTGTTGACTTGGTGGTTTTAGTTTTCATTTACTAGCTTAATGACTTAAGTGAATCGCAGCCTTTCTGAGTTTATACTTGTTCCTATGCAATTGATTGCAAAGGATTATATTAGTCTTCCTGATCTCTGTTCTATGGAATAATAATATTCACACTACATTGAGTTTTTCCTTGATAAGGCTTTTATGAAGACAAATTTGGAATATGAGTCTGTTGATAACTAGTTACTGAGCACTTATGGAGTAGCCCTAGTATGGAAAAAGTTTGCATTCAAATTTTAGAAGGATATGGGCACTATTCCAGAAGAGAATTAGAACAGCTATTTGCTATTGCAGAGTTAGTAAAGAAAGCAAATTATTTTTCACCTAATTTATTCACAAACTTTTCCAAATCCTGTGTTGCAGCGAGTATTGAGTAACCAATATTAATGTGAGTGTGTCAGTGGATTGTGTATGTCTAGATCAGTGGTTCTCAACCTTCCTAATGCTGCGACCCTTTAATACAGTTCCTCATGTTGTGGTGACCCCCAACCATAAAATTATTTTTGTTGCTACTTCATAACTGTAATTTTGCTACTGTTATGAATCATAATGTAAATATCTGATATGCTATATGTGTTTTCCGATGGTCTTAGGCGACCCCCAAAGGGGTCGCGACCCACAGGTTGAGAACCGCTGGTCTAGATGAAAAAAGTGGAAGAAACAGTAAATTAAAGAACATAGAAAAGGTCAAGAGGGTATAGAGATAAGGGTAGAAATTAGTTAAAACAAATTGATATGTGAGGGGGGAAAAGCACATTCTATTTCATCAACGTATCCCTTTTATTCTTTTAATCAAAACTTTATTGAAGATCATGGGAAAGTGGCAAAAATGGTTCTTTAATTCTTTTTTTTCCTTAAATTCTTAATTCTCATTTACTGTTGGATATTTTGAAGTGTTTTTATATGTGATATGGGAAGATAAACAGAGTATGCTTTGTTTTTCAGCTTTTGAAAAATTTCATCACAAAAAAAGCTCCTTGTCCTCATCTTCTAGAAGACGGACTATTAATGACATAGACTCCATTAGCCTCACAACTGATGATCTGTTAAAACTTCCAGCAGATGGATCATTTCCTTTTACTTGTGTTGGACCAGGTCATCAAATTACCAAGAAAACCAAGAAATGCATTGGAAGACTGAGTTTATCAGACACTGAAAAGAATCAAAATTTTCAAGAACCCTGCATTGCCAGAAGCAAGGATAACTTAGTTACTCCTGTGGTATACACAAATATAAATGGAAAGCAGTGTCATAAGCTAAAAAACCTAAAACTTGTGAATAAGACGAGTAAATGCATTTCTGAACCATCTTTTTTTAAGAAATCATCTTTCAAGGACAGTTCAGAACGCGAACTTGAAAAGAATTACCCAAGATGGCTCACTGGCCATAAATCTGACCTTAATGTTTCAGGGATAACTAGTATACCTGATTTCAAATATCCAGTCTGGCTCCACAATCAAGACTTGCTACCTGACACAAATAGTCAAAGTATTTATAAAATATTTAAAGACGAGCATTGTTCCCCAAGACATAGTTATCAGGCACAAAGAACTTCTCGACCTATGAATAAATTAGATTGTTTCGAATATTCTTTTGAACCCTCAAATATTTCAGATTTCTTGATTGGTGATCAAAGATTTGTTAATGAATATAAATGTGATTCTGAGCATAGCCAATGTCATTGTGAGAATCCACTTCTTCCAGGACAATCCAAAAAGCCATTCAATGGTAATTGTTTTTTGTTTGCTTTTAAGAATCAAAGAAAATGCTGTAAATTTGACCTAATATCTAGGAGCTTTTATGTTACATTCTTGAGGTAATGATCAGATTATATATTTTTTGAACTCTTACGGTTTTCATTTTAAGTAGCATTTTATAACTAGAAAATATCTACTTTTATTTGTTTGAAATGTCACATTTTGACATAATTTGCTGTTAAAGATGTGTAGAGGGGGTATCCCCAAAAAATGTATACACACTTTAACAGCTGATAGCTCAATTTTGAAAATGAAATGTATTTTTTAAAATATATTTTACTGATTTTTTACGGAGAGGAAGGGAGAGGGATAGAGAGTTAGAAACATCAATGAGAGAGAAACATTGATCAGCTGCCTCCTGTACACCCCCTACTGGGTATGCGCCCGCAACCAAGGTACGTGCCCTTGACCAGAATTGAACCTGGGACCCTTGAGTCCGCAGGCCAATGCTCTATCCACTGAGCCAAACCAGTTAGGGCGAAAATGAAATGCATTTTAATAAACACTGCCTTTATAATTATTCAAAGTGTATGTATACATTTTGGGGGGCACCCTGTATGTATACCAAGTTATCTGAATCCTTGTTGCTTTATGAGATTTTGCCATGCTTTGCATTTATTTTTTTTCTTAATTAATGTAGTCTTTTAAAATAGGTGACAAAATTGAATTACTTATCCTGAAGGCCAAGAGAAATCTAGAGCATTGTACTGAATTACCGAAGTCGATGAAACAGGATGATAGCCCTTGTTCATTAGATAAACTGGAAGCAGAAAGATCGTGGGAAAATGTTCCTGTTACTTTGTAAGTACGTTATTAATGGAAAAGTCATGTAAGGTCATTAGTTTTCCATATGAAAAATATATGAACATCTAATTTATTTTTATACAACTTGATTATAACTAGCAATGTAATGACATGGTAATTCTGTAGAAAATGGTGTTCAGTGTTGCTTTGCTTAATATATTTTTCGTTTGTTACCACAAGATTGTGGGTTATTTAATAACTTAGGTACATTATGTAACTTTTGTTTTTGTTACATGTTCCTTTTGTTGCACTATAAAATATTGATATGTGTTTACTGTGAGGAATTAGAACCAAAAGCAACTATTTTGTAGAAGGAGGAGGGCTATGGAAGTCTTGTTACTTTCTACTATATTCTCTCCATATATTAAGAGTTATCTATTTCTTTTCATTTACATTTTACTTTCTCTTTCAGTTGTTATTTTCCGTAAATGATAGTCCATTTTTATATTGTATAAATTTTTATAATTTCTAAGATTATTTTCATTTGTATATTTAACGTTTCAATGACATAGTTTCTCAGAATAATTTAAGAAGTGTTCACCTAGATAACTGAATGTGAACTTAGAGTAAGGATTAGGAGTTTAGATAGGAAAGCTTTTTTTAGTGATATTATTATATCTAGTCTTATTAGTAATGCATTCTTGGTAACCCTATATCCTGACTTAGTTTCTGATATTTATTATATTCAGTTGTCTAAACTTTTATTTTGTCATAGATGGAGTTTATTAGTTAATGGATCCTTTTTTAGTTCTCAATTAAATGTCTTTTTTATTTTTATTTATTTATTTTTAAATGTGTGCACTGACTACAATACTGGTTTGGAATTCCAGCTCTGTCAGTTCTTCGCTGAGATCTTGTACAAGTTTTGTCTACTTTGTATAATTCTACTTTGTACAAGGTCTTGTACAAGTTCTTTTGCTTTGGTGTTTTTGTGTGAGGATTCAATTGTTTAGAAAATAAATAAAAGGTACTTAAGTCAGGATATGGTTGGTAATCTCGTAAATTGTAATTTGGTGATTATTCAAAATACATTTTTTCTTTCTTTAGCTTTATTTTTCAACTAGAGGCCCAATGCACGAAATTTGAGCAAGGTGCTCAGCCCTTGCAGCTGCAGTGGATTGCCTCGGCCCTCGCAGCCCAGGCTTCGTCCGGAAGGACATTGGCTGTCCGGTCTAATTAGCATGTTATGCTTTTATTATTATAGATTGTTGGTTCAATAATATTTTTTTAAAATGAGTCAATAGATCTAATTTTTAAATTTATCTTTATTTTTTAAATATATATATTTATTTATTTCAGAGAGAGATAGAAACATCAATGATGAGAGAGAATCATTGATCGGATGCCTCCTGCATGCCCCCTACTGGGGATTGAATCTGAAATCTGGGCATGTGCCCTTGACTGGAATTGAACCTAGGACACTTCAGTCCGAAGGCTGACACCCTATCTATTGAGCCAAACCAGCTAGGGCTATCTTTATTTCTTAATTTCTCTTTATCAGTTGTTCTGTGTATTTGTAGAGTATCATAGCTGCAATACTTTGCTTTCAGTTGGAACCCAAACGGGTGCGCAAATAATATCAGAGATATTTAAGGGTGAAAATTTTAATGTAGTTTATTTATAATTAGATAATATAACTTCTGGTTAGTATAATTATTATCATCAGTGGTTTGGCCCAGTACTTTGAATACAGTAGTTGATGTTTAGAAAATTGGGTTCATATAGTGATGGGTATGTTTGTATATAAAATTAATGATGGATTGTGAGATGAAGGAATAGACCTAGCCTTAGTATGACATTGACAAATGATTATCAATCTGTCATAAAAAAAAAATTGGCCCTAGCCAGTTTTGTTCAGTGGATAGAGCTTCACCCTGTGGACTGAAGGGTCCCAGGTTCGATTCCGGTCAAGGGCACATGCCCAGGTTTTGGGCTTGATCCCCAGTAGGCGGCGTGCAGGAGGCAGCCAATTAATTATTCTCTCTCATCATTGATGTTTCTATCTCTCTCCCTTTCTCTCTGAAATCAATAAAAATATATATTTTTTAAAAATTGACCTGGATGTACTCAAAGTAATATACTAAAAGATGGAGTATAACTGCAATCAGATAATTGATTTTTTTGTTTTAATGGAAAATTCCAAAGAAATACAAAGTAGAAGAGTAGTATAATGAGTCCTTATGTACCCAGCACCCACCTTCAATAATCAGGTAAATGCTTTTGATAATGGTGAGTGGGTGTACAAACTCTTATAAAGAATGAGGGGGGTTGCGGGCACATCCCCAGTAGGAGATGTGCAGGAGGCAGCTGATCGATGTTTCTCTCTCATTGATGTTTCTAACTCTCTCTATCTCTTTCCCTTCCTCTCTGTAAAAAATCAATAAAATATATTTTAAAAAAAAAAGAATGAGGGGAAAAAACTACCGGAAGAACAATAAAAAGCTGAGTTACAAATGAGTCAATAATGAATTGCTGCTAAATAAGAAAAATTGTGAACTTTACATGTTATAAATAGATACTTAGATATCTGAGTACTTGAGTTAGAAGCATTATATATATATATATATATATATATATATATATATATATATATATATGGGAGAAAGATAGAATGAGTTTATTTTCTGTGACTAACAGAATCTGGTTTGGGGAAAATTCTTACTTTTGCTAGGGATGCCCTTTTTTCTGCTACCCCTTAAATTAAGAAAAAATTAATATTTATTGAGCATCTATTAAAGGTACCAGGTACATGGCGTTAATTTATGCAGTACTTCTGTGAGATAAGTGGGACTACAAATGTAGAAATTGAAGTTCAGATAAATAAGTTACATAAGGTCATATAGTGACTGGGTTTGGGATTTGAACTTAGGAATTATAATTTCAAATTTGATTATTTTCCCACTCTAATCTGTTTTCTGTGTTAATGCCAGTTCTGGGGTGGGACATCTGTCCTATTGCTTTGACGTGGCAGAAAGTATAACTGCCATCCCAGTAGAAAATTTTATAAATTCATGAGAGTGTTGTGTATTATCATTGGGTAACTAACAGTGTTTAATTGGGAAAATGTACCGCTTATTTCAAACAAGTGAGCTTTGAGAGCATAGCCTGTAGTTGAAGGATTATTTGTTTAGTTGAAGACTAATGTCTTAAATTTTTTAAACATATTTTTATTACTGATTTCAGAGAGGAGGGGAGAAGGAGAGAGAGATAGAAACATCAATGATGAGAGGGAATCATTGATCAGTTTCCTCCTGCATGCGTCACTCTGGGGATCAAGCCTGCAACCTTGGCATGTGCCCTGGCTGGGAATGGAACTGTGATCTCCTGGTTCATAGGTTGACGCTCAATCACTGAGCTATGGCAGCCGGTCCAAGTTTTTTTTTCTTGAAGCTTTAAAGGAGAAGCAAGGAGGTAGGATTAGATTCTGGTATAAATTCAGGAAGAAGATGAGAGAATTATCAAGCAACATCAATATGAATCATATCTACAACAGGTTTTTTTTAGTGACCATTTATATTTCAATGATAACCATTCAATTATATACTGCCTAATTTTTATAAATTGGGAACTTAATTGCTATCTTGTCTCTTAAACCCTATGTAGTAAATCTCCTGTTCCTATTAAATCTGATGACAGTCCTCAACAAGCTCCAAGGACAAAGAATGCTAAAAGGTTCCTTGAAGATCTTTTAAATGATGATGATCAGGTGGGTGAAGTTAAATCTTTTTAACTTATTAAAAGACTAGAAGCCCAGTGTACAGATTTGTGCACTGGTGGGGTCCTCGGCCTGGCTTGTGCCCTCTTGCAATCCAGGACCCCTCGGGATGTCGGAGGCCTGGTGCACGGTTTTGGCCTGATCCCCACAGGTCAGGCTGAGGGACCCCACCAGTGCACGAATAGTGCACCGGGCCTCTAGCATGCGTATAAGATCTTTGGTTAATCTCTTCCCGCCCTTCCCTCTGAGATTCATCATTCTGTTCCATGTTTCCATGCCTGTGCATTGATCGTCTGTCCCTGGTGGTCATTGCACGTCATAGCTACCAGTTGAACAGTCAAACAGTCACTTAGGCTTTTATATATGTAGATTCTAAAGTAGAGGGACCTGGGATTGAACTCTTACAGAAAGCCTAAATTGTCATTAAAATCTTGGTCTGTTTGTTTTCTGGAAAACATATGAAACAGACCATTATAGAGTAAATTATATCTTTTCACAGGGCAGCTGATTATTGAGAGTTGTGTTTCTAAGATATAGTTGTAAATCTCTATTTTTTTATGATTTGTTGTTGGTGGTGTTAATCATCATTCGAGGATATTTTTCCATTGATCTTTTTTTTAGAGTGGAAGAGAGAGGAAAAGATAGAAAGATCGATGTGAGAGAAACACATCTATTGGTTGCCACCTGTGCACGCCCTGACCATGGCCAGGGTCAGGGAGGAGCCTACAACCAAGGTACATGGACTGGATTTGAACCCAGGACCCTTTGGTTCACAGGCCAATACTCTATCCACTGAGCCAAACTGGCTAGGGCTCTATAATTTTTTAAATAGGAAAATATTATCCAATTTTACTAAATCAGCATATGTGCATTTTGCACATAACCCCAAAATAAAGCATAAATGTGTATATGTGCACATAAGATATGATAAACAATTTGATTTAGAAATAAAAGCCATGGTGTTAAATACTGAAATAATGCTTTTGGGGTCTTCCAAGTACAGACCTTATTCTACTTTCACCAGTTTTCCTACCAATGTCTTGTTTCAGGACCCAATCCAGGATTCAGTTTTGCATTTAGTTGTCATGTCTCCTTAATCTACTTCAGTCTGTTACAATTCTCAGTTTCCCTTGTCTGTCATGACCTTGACACTTGAAGAATACTGGTCAGTTGGCTATTTTGTAGAAAATTCCTCAATTTGTTTTAGTCTGAAGTTTTCTCATGATTAGAATGCGGTTATGTATTTTTTGCAAGAATGCAACAGATATCATGCTGTGTGCCCTTCTCAGTGCATTATATCAGAGGGTTCGTGATGTATTGCTACCATGGATATACAGATAATGTATATCTTAGTTTGCACTGCTGTAGTATGCCATAGACTTGGTGGCTTAAATAGCAAACATTTATTTCTCACAGTTCTGTTAGCTGAGAAGTGTAAGATCAAAGTGTTTGGTGAGGTCCTGCTTTTTAGTTTGCAGGTGGCCATCTTCCCCATATATTCACATGGTAGAGAGAAGAGGGAAAGCAAGCTCTCTTGTGTCTCTTATAAGGACACAAATTTCATTCATGTGCTCCACACATGCCTCTCCTCCAGATATTGTCACATTCGTTAATACAATAATATAATAATATACAAAGTTATGGAAATATGTTAGAATTTGTGCTGTTAACCTTGAATACTTAGTATCTACTAGCTTTCTCTTTAGTAAAATTAATTTCCCTTTGTAATGAATAAATATCTTAGGGGAGATACTTTGAGACTATGCAAGTAGTCGAAAACTTTCATTCACTAATTTTAGTATCCATGGGTGAATCTTGTCTTTTCTACATTATTAATAGAAATTCTTGTGTAATGAAGGGCTATTCCTTCTCCCCCCAGTTATTTGTTTATTAAATTATATCAGCAGGGATTCGTAGATATTTATTTTATTCTAGGTTTATAATACAACTAGAGGTCCAATGCACAAAATTTGTGCAAGAGTAGGCCTTCACAGCCACAGCTCCTCAATCCCTCCCTTGCAGCCACAGGCGGCTACCTCAATCCCTCCCTCACAGTCACAGGTGGCTGTCTTGCTCCCACGGCTTCAGCCCCCGGGCCCCAGGTTCGCCTGGAAGGTCGTCTGGAAGGACATCCAGACAGTCCTTCTGCTGTTCGGCCGTTCAGTTGATTTGCATATTACGCTTTTAGTACTATAGATATTATTTTGTTGCTCAAATTCTTCCAGTTTAGGCTATAAGGAGTTCCTTCAGTTGGCTCCTGTGTCTTTTTGACATGTCCCCCTTTTTTTGAGCTGTGGTTCTTTTTATTGGAAAATGTTGTTTAGCCATTATACTTAACTGAATTTCTTCACCAATGAGAGCACACTTTTAATACTTTTTTAAAAAATTATTGTTTAAAGTATTACATATGTCTCCTTTTTCCCTATTGACACCCCTGAGGGCAGGCCCCCACCACCCCAGTGTCTGTGTCCATTGGTTATGCTAATGTGATACTTCTAATATTCTTTGCTAGTCAACAATTTCCTCTAGATTTGAAGTTTAAATTATACACATATTTACGGTCTGTGTTGAATATGTTAAATCACAGAAATCTTAAGAGGATTATTTGCCACTTTGTGGATAGTTTTCAGTACACAGCAACTCATGTATATATGTAAAAATAATAGGTTGGGAAAGACTTTAAAAAAAAGAAGTTTGAAAATATCCATTACAGATTCTTTTAAAAGAATCCTCACCACGTATGTAGCTTAAGTGCTATTGCCTTCTTGGGATGTAGATAAGATCAGTGCTAATTAAGTTATGAGTGTTTTTTAGGTAGCAAGGAATGTGTGGCCCATGAAGAGATGGAAAACCAGTATTCTGTGTGTCAAACATATTTAAAAGTGTGTAGAGAATAATGTATTTAAAATTCTAGTTATTGCTCACCTGATAATCAGCTCCATTTACACACCTGAAAAGAGCAGGTTGACTTACCTGCTCTCTGGGGATGTTTTAGTTCTAAAAATCTTTGATTTTAAATGTACTAAATGAATGCATTACAAACATAAACAAGTACTATTCGTTTTGAAAGAGCAAAAACTAGAAAGGATATGCCACACTGTTACTAATGATTACCACTAAGTAACTTCATCTGGGAACTAGGTAAAGGGAGGTGATACGTTATGCACGACATTTAAAAACACTCTGTTGACATGTAATGTTAGGATTTTTGCATTAATTTTGTATTGGGGAGAATATTACAAAATATAACATTTTGCCCCCAAATTTGGATGGTTAATTGATCATCTGTTTTAACCTTAGAGCTGTACCCTGTCTGGAGGAAAACATCATGGTCCTGTTGAAGCCCTGAAACAAATGTTATTTAATCTTCAAGCCGTACAAGAAAGTTTTAATCAGAATAAAACTGTGGAGCCAAAAGGAGAGATTAAACAAGTAAGCACAAACTTGATTTATGAATTGGGATCTGTGAAGAGATAAGAATTCTTTCTAGATCCTCTTTAGTTAGACCTCCAGTTTTATGTTAATAAGCAGGCCACATAACACATGTTGTAGAGTTGGATTATTCTTTTTTTTCCCCCAGAAACTTATTCACATTGAATACTGTTAGATTTCTGCAGTTGTATATCCATGAATGGATTGTTTTATTTAGTTTATGGTTATAAATACACCATCTTATTTAGATATGATGATATCACAACTATGGTATGAACGGATTGTAAAAGTTGTTTTTGAATTGCCTACAAAATTATTCTCTGTACTCCAACTTGTATTTATAAATTGGGGAGAGCTAGAAAACCTTTTTTTTTTTTAAATCCTCACCCAAGGACATTTTCATTTATTTTTAGAGAGAGAGAAAAACATCGATGTGAGAGGGAAATATTGATTGGTTGCCGCACCTGCCCCACTTGGGGACTGGTATCAAACCTGCATCCCAGACATGTGCCCTGACTGGGAATCAAACCCAAGACTTTTTAGTGTATGGGACAACACAACCACCAACTGAGCCACACTGGCCAGGGTGAAAACGTTTCAACATTAGACTTCTCCACAGACCTTTGTCATCTGAAATTTAATTTTGGTGCCATGTGTTTATTGACTTCTGAATACAGTTATGTAAAGTTTTATTTTAAAAACATTGAATTTTTTTATATTTCCTAGGAATTTGGAAATCTGTTTCTGCTTTGGCTGCTGTTCTTTAGGGATTGAATTTTTTCACAATAATATAGTGTTTATGAATATATTCTTATTCATAACTTGGGAGAATATTTATATAATCCCAAGTCTGATTAAATTCTAATTCTGCCACTTACTAGTTTCTGTTTTCTCTTCTGCAAAATGAGGTTGTTAAGCCCTAGCTGGTTTGGCTTAGTGGATAGAGCGTCAGCCTGTGGACTAAAAGGTCCCAGGTTCGATTCCAGTCAAGGGCACATACCTAGGTTGTGGGCCCGACCCCAGTAGGGGGCGTGCAGGAGGCAACCGATCAATGGTTCTTTCTCATTGTTGATATTTCTATCTCTCTTTCCCTCTCTCTCCCTCTCTGAAATCAATAAAAATATATTCGGGAAAAAAAAAGGTTGTTGAGAAATTGAGACAGATTATATAAAGTACTTATTATAGTGCTTGGCACCTGATAAAAGCCTTATAAATACCTTATCTTATATAATTAAAGCCTAATATGCTAAGTGTCTGGTCAGCCAGTTGGCAGTTCAACCAATCAAAGCGTAAAATGCTAATGATATACTAAGGCCACTCAACTGCTCACTATGACGTGCACTGACCACCAGGGGGAGACGCTCCAACCAGTAGGTTAGCTTGCTGATGGGGTCCAGCCGATCGGGACTAAGCGAGATGGGCCAGACATACCCTGGAGCCCTGCTGCGGTCCCTCCCTGGCTGGCTAATGTCCTGTGTCCCTCCCCGGCCCCTATCATGCACTGGTGGGGCTATCAGGGACCCCTCAGAATGTCAGAGAGCCAGTTTCAGCCCGATCCCACAGGCGAGGCCAAGGGACCCCACTGGTGCACGAATTCGTGCACCGGGCCTCTAGTTAATAAAATAATTACCCTAGTAATACAAACATTAAAAAACTTAAATAGTAATACTTAAATTGTTTAAACATAAGAATGCCTTAAAATACTTAATAAATGTTTTTATTGTCATTATTTTGATAGGATTATTCAGTAGAGCTTTCTGAAATTCAGTTTTCATTACAAATGAGTAGGTTAACTCTTGGGGACTATCATGGCCTGCTCTTTGGAGTTGTATTTCTTAATTTTTCTCTTTCCATTCTAATGATCATAACATTAACATAAAATGTGTAATTTATTTTTCTTTCCTTCCCTTTTTAAACATTGAGACAAGACCAAGTTCATTATAAAGTCATAATTTCAAACCAGGATTTGATTTTTTTATTGGACATAATTTAAAAGCATACTTTAGGACAATTTAAAGATGAATCTAAATATAGTTATATTATTTTTAGAATAAAGAGAAAAAATATGTAATACTTTTTTGCTAGATTTCTTTGGAAACAAAGACAATATTTTTTTACTGTTCTTTTAAGTCACATATTAAATAGCATTTATGTTTATAATTATATAGTATTTTCAGTATTTTGTTTCATTTGGTCTTTTTAATAATAGGTTTCAGAAGATGATTTCTCTAAATTACAATTGAAGGAAGGTATGGTTCCGATTACTAGGTCACTTCAAAAGTAAGTATTCTCTAGTAATTTCTGAATATGTTATGGATACAAATCTATTTTAGCCATCTCTTAGATTGAAATCAGAAGGTTTCAGGATGGAATTAAGTAGTTATAAGGATATTAAACTTCTTGGAACATACTGTTTAATCCTGAAGTTTTCTCTTAAACCTGTGTTTTTCCCTATTTTTTTTAAATATATATTTTATTGATTTTTTACAGAGAGGAAGGGAGAGAGATAGAGAGTTAGAAACATCGATCAGCTGCCTCCTGCACACCCCCCACTGGGGACGTGCCCGCAACCAAGGTACATGCCCTTGACCGGAATCGAACCTGGGACCTTTCAGTCCGCAGACCGAAGCTCTATCCACTGAGCCAAACCAGTCAGGGCTGTTTTTCCCTATTTAAAATGTTCTTAGGACCTAATGAGATAACCTTAAATACCTAAAATATAATGATGTGAATGGCCTTAATTGATGCGCTTCTATTTCTGAACAATAACAACAATTTGAGCTAGTATTGGTGTGGATGTCCTGGAAAAACACCTTGATCATGACATGTATTTTCATATATTCCCTCTAGAACAGTGGTTCTCAACCTTGGCTGCACATTAGAATCACCTGGGAATCTTTTTAAAATCCTGATTTCTGGGCCTCATCCTCCGGAGATTCTGTTTCTTTGTTACTAATGTTGTGGCCCCACCCCATAACAAAGAAACAGAATTTCCAGAGGACGAGGCCCAGAAATCAGGATTTTAAAAAGATTCCCAGGTGATTCTAATGTGCAGCCAAGGTTGAGAACCACTGCTCTAGAAGAAACACAATAATCATAAATAATTCATCATTTGACCTATATCCACAGAAAACTAAAGTAGATACAATGTTGTGGATATAAAGATAATCTAAATGCCCTAAAGGTGTTAATCCACCTATTTTCTTAGTTAAATTATCTTAAACTAAAAATTGGGAAGGCATACACATCTTTCTTAATTGGCAGAGGGAGGGTATTTATTTATAGGTTCGGTTGTATGAATATAAAGTGCACTCAGAAGATGGTATACTGAGCTTAGGAAAAGCTAAGATAAAAATTTTTTACTTTCATAACACCATTTCACTTGGCTGTATACAGTGTTGTATCATGACCCTTAAATTGATGTTTTCCCCATTAGCCTGTTTTTCACCTTTTTAGGGAAAAAAAAATAAAGAATTATTTCCTTCTACAATTTTGTCCTCCACTTCCTTAAGTAAATTATGTATTGTCAGCAGGGCAGATAGAGGTTAAATGACAGGAACTGACAGCTGATTGTGTAGCCAAGGTAGGGAGACTGAAGATTTCATTTCTGCTTAACTTTCTTATTCCTTCCCATCATACCTCACCTCTCCCCTCTACTTCCCTCCCTCCTTTCTTCCATTTTTAAAAATATATTTTTTTTCTTATTGATTTCAGAGAGGAAGGGAGAAGGGAGAGAGAGAGATAGAAATGATGAGAGAAAATCATCAATTGGCTGCCTCCTGCACGCCCCGTGCTGGGGATCAAGCCCACAACCCAGGTATGTGCCCTTGATCAGAATCAAACCTGGGACCCCCCCAGTGCCAAACCGGCCAGGGCTCTTCCATTGTTTTTTAAAGATATAAAACAAACTACATAGGACTAAAAAGGAACCAGGTATATTGAATTATAGTTATGAAAATATTAAAATAATTGCTAATTAGTAATATGTGCTTATTAATGCATTTAAAGTAAGACAATACATTTAAAATCTAGGTAAGTTAAAATTCATTTTGTAAAAACATAATATGAAGGCCTTTTGATTGCTTGAATAAAAGCATTAAATTATGGCATGGTCTTTTACTTATTTCACATGTTGATCAGCAAACAATTAGAGAAAGGAAATACTGGAAAGCATTGATTTCTGGGTCACCAGTGATACCTTACTATTCAATGAATAAACAACTAGGCTTAAAGTTGTCTAGTGGTTGACCAGTTATGTCATATGAACTTTTGGATATAGACAGGAAAACTTAGATAACATAGGTTCTAATGGTTGGTTTGATACCTATTATAATTTTGTAACTATCATATAACTATTATAATTTTGAAGTAGTGATGAGTTTAAATAATTTTGATATTCCTGTAATGATTGTAATGTGACATGAAAATATCTCCAGTTTTTGTGGCATATGAGGTCACAGATTTGGTTTGTTGCTTACATGCATAATGGAAAGAAATTCTAATTTATAGGTGGTATTTAGTGAAAATAAAGATGAGGATGTTTTTTCTCTATCCATTTTCAAAGTCCTTTAAATCCAAGGGGTCTGGCCATTGGGGTTGTAAGTAAGATAAGATTCTAGTTACTTGCCTTTTTCTTTCTCTTGAATCACAAGTAGTTAAATAATACACCTGAAAATAAAAGGGAAGATAATTCCCAAGTATATTTGCAAATTGTCTTTTTTTTCTCATGTCTGTATGCCTCTAGGAAGAAAATAATTCTTTAGGTAGAGAGATGTACTATAGGATGTAGAAATGATAGGGTCTAGTTAATTTTACCTCTGATTGCTTAGTAACTTTGGGTGAGTTATTGTCATTTAGTTAAAGCAAATGAGAATCTCAAAAATTAACTGAAGTTGCCAAGGGTAGCAAAATCCAATTCCTTCTCTTATCTATATACTAGAGGCCCCAGTGCACGAAAATTCGTGCGGGGGGGGGGGGGGGTTCCCTTAGCCTGGCCTGCGCCCTCTCCCAATCCGGGACCACCTTAGGGGATGTCCACCTACAGGCTTAGGCCTGCTCCCCGGGGGGATCGGGCGTAAGCTGGCAGTCAGACATCCCTCTGGCAGCCTGGGAGCCCTTGGGGATATCAGTTGGACATCCTTAGCATTGCCAAGGAGGTGGTAGAGGCTCCCGCCACCACCGCGCTGCGCTCACAGCCATCAGCCTGGCTTATAGCAGCGGAGCTCCCCCTGTGGGAACGCATTGACCACCAGGGGGCAACTCCTGTGTTGAGCATCTGCCCCCTGCAGTGCACATCATAGCAACCAGTCGTTCTACCTTTAGAGTCAATTTGCATATTACCCTTTTATTATCTACACTAATAAAAGACAAAGATGCTAATTGACCATACCTTTGCTATGCCCTAAGCCATGCACACCAGCCAATCAGAGTGGCTATATGCAAATTAACCCAACCAAGATTGCGGCTGGCAACCACGGAGCTGGAGCAAGCAGGAGGCTTGGTTGCCCGGGTGATGGAGGAAGCCAAAGCTTCCCGCCTACCGTGAGCCGGCTGTGGCCTCCACTCATGGCAACAAAGTTTCAATTATAGAAGACAAATAAATCCGAGATACTTGCTTCCAGCCAGCCTCCACTGAGAGTTTGGGTGGCTGGGAGTTGTGGCCAGCCTTCAAACAGCCATCAGCCCCTCACTCATACTGGGCAGGCACCCCAGGGAGGACCCCCACCCTGAAGGGGCTGTGGCCAGCCTGAAAACAGCCATCAGCCACTCACCCAGGCTGGCCACACCCTCATAGGGTGAGGATCCCCGCTGGGGGGCTTGGCCAGCCTGCAAACTGCCATCAGCCTCTCACCTAGGCTGGCCAGGCACTCCTATATAATAAAATGGTAATATGCAAATTGACCCTAACAGCAGAACCACTGGGAATGACTGGTCACTATGACACACACTGACCCTGGCAGACGCTCAATGCAGGAGCTGACCCCTGGTGGTCAGTGCGCTCCCACAGGGGGAGCTCTGCTCAGCCACAAGCCAGGCTGAGGGCTGCCAGTACAGCGGTGGTGCTGGGAGCCTCTCCCGCCTCCTCAGCAGCCCTAAGGATGTCCGACTGCAGCTTAGGTCTGCTCCCTGCTGGCAAGTGGGCATCCCCCAAGGCTGCCAGACTGCCAGAGGAATGTCTGATTGCCAGCTTAGGCCCAATCCCCTGGGGAGCAGGCCTAAACCAGCAAGTGGTCACCCCTGAGGGGTCCCAGACTTAGAGAGGGAACAGGCCGGGCTGAGGGACCCTCTACCCCCGAGTGCACAAATTTTTGTGCACCGGGCCTCTAGTATAGGCTATAAAAGCCTAATATGCAAATTGTCCCTGCGGGAGTTCGACTGGGAGGCATCGCTCACTATGACATGCGCTGACCACCAGGGGGCGGCACGGAACAAAGGGAGGCCCAGGCCAGCAGCTGGCAGCCAGGGAAGGGAGGCCCCAATTGGCCCTGATCACTAGCCAGGCCAAGGGACCCTCTCCATGCATGAATTTCATGCACCAGGCCTCTAATTAATTATATTTGAATAAGTGTTCAAGAAAGAGACACTTGGTTGAAATAGATACAATGCAGTAATTAACACTAATAGTTTCCTCCACCTCTTTATCCTGAGTATTTATTTCATTTATTGAACCTGTGTTAGAGACTGTAGAATAGGTTGTTATAGTAACCACCTTTAGCTCATCTTAGAAATTAACCATTAGAGATTACACATTGTTATTTGTTTTTCTTGATCTCTTGTTCATCAGAGATCTGAAATATGGTTGATTAATATGGTTGACATTTTCTGAGTGGTCCTTGGATCTGAAGGATAGGAGAGGGAAAACTGGAACAGTATTTTTAGAGGAAGATTGGAAAGTTAAAGCCTCTCTCTTCCTGGTTTGTTTGAAGGATGACTGAGTTTTCTCCACTGATACCTGACCTGTAATCTTAGCTTTATTCAGAGAAAACCATGTTGTTCGTATAATACTACATCATTCAACATACTTGTTGTTTGTTTCCTCCATGCTCAATAAAAATGAGTTTTCCTCAGAACTAACTGATCCTTTAGTGTTTTTTTATTTTAGCTATCTTGAATGCATATGTAAAAAATAAGCTATACACATTGTTTCTGAAATTATATACACTGTTGTGAAAATTACTTGAAAAAATGTTTTGTTATGTGTGATAACAAATGATATCTATTGTTTCTTACTAAGCTTACTTGGAAAACTTTCAAAAAAAACTTGAATGTCAAAAATAATTTTTTAAAAGTAAATGTTTTTATAGAGTTTTAGATGAATTTTAACCCTCAACTATTCAGTTATCAAAGTTTTGAAAGGAAAAATTCTCAGTTTGATATTTGTTATTCTATAAATTCATTTCTCTTAACTAACTTTGAAGTTAATAAACAATGTAATCACCATTTCTTGCTGTCTGCGTTGCCTATTCAGTCCTTAATATTGGTTTATAATATGTTTTATACTTTTTAATGAAGGGCTTTGCACCATTTATCTCGCCTGAGGGACCTGGTTGATGATACCAGTGGGAAACAGTCACCGAAAATGTGAAGAGGAAAATAAAAGTTTAACCAATAAATAGTCACCACAAAAACAAAAATGTATTTTTTTTCCTATTGCTTAAGCTGGCAGAATAATGATAAGCCATCCACTATTCTGATTGGTTCAATTATTATCTATTTAAAAAACAAACTTGAAAGTGTCTGTAGGTTTTGTGACCTATCCTCATTTTGTGCCAAAATACCAGAATGTGAACTGGAAGGACCTACACTATTCTATAGTCTGACTTTGGTCTTCAGGCCAGCAAATGTCTAATATTCAAAGATGGATGGATGATTTCCGTTCTTGAAGCTCACGTGGACTTAACCTTCTTCAGCATCCTCGCCATTTTATCATCTAGTTGTGGATTAAGAAATTCTTCCTGGTTTCTATTTAAAATCTCTTAAGTGGAGTAGACTTTTTGTTACAGTTAACATCTACTTTTAAGGAACTTAAGGGAATATCAAAATTCTTGTGGTGTATCTTATCCATATGGAAGTATGTTACTTTTAAATTTTGTAAATCAAATATTTAAGATATGTTGTATTTGCAAATAACATTAATAATGGGGTGGTTCAGTGTTAAAAGGAATATCGTTCTATGTTGTGTAATCCAAGAGAACTTTGTTTAATTAATGCTTTGATTTGATTCTCTAAAAGATAGTCTTTTTTTCAGTTTTATTTGAGAGAAAGAGGAAGAAAGAGAAGGAAACCGATTTGTTGTTTCACTTATACATTCATTGGTTGATTCTTGTATGTGGCCTGACTGGGATCAAACCCACAACCTTGGTTATCAGGACGACTCTGTAACCGACTAAACTACCCGCCCGGCCAGACTTAAGATAATCTTGATATTACTTGACAGTTTACAAAACATTTTGTGGGGAGATATTTGAGAATTTGATATTTTGGTACTAGATTATTTACCAGATTTTAGTTTGGGGGTTAACTCAAATTAGTAAAAACTATGAGATCAGTGACCAATTGCTTTATGAAATTTTGTAACTAAAAAAGAAAATGAATATGGGAAATCGGAAAGCAATACTCTATTTTTTTTTTTTTGCAATACTCTATTTTAAAGCTACTTTGTAAGAACTGAACTTTCTCTAAAGCAGTCTGTAGTCTTTAAAGTTTGTCTCTACCTGGAAGTGAGCAGAGCTGCATTCTTTACCACAAAACTAAGAATTTAAGTTATAAAGTGTGACTAAGAAGCATATGAAATTAAAGAATATCTATGTATACAAATGCTACAAATTAACTCTTTACCTAAATGGCAGCATCCTTACCAAGTAGCTTTATTGTCAAATAGGAATTTCTAAATACATTATGTCAGATAATTTTTTTATTTTCTCTAAATGTAAAGCTCTATCTATATAAAACCTTTGTTATAGAACTTACTTGTCAAAAATGTAGAGTGAACCCTGTCTCTATTTTCTTGACCAGTGAGCCAGTTGTCAGTGTTCTCTGTGCTCAGATTGAAAGTCTCTTGCCTCAATAAGTTTGTTTGGTCATTCTGTTTTCTGATCATCTTCCGGTCTTCTGCTTCTCAACTAATAGTTTGCATCCAGTCAAACAGGCGTTATTTTGATGATTTAAAATGTGGTTTAGCTGTTGCAGGTTTTTAGCAGGTGAACATCAGGTGGATCTGGGCTGAGCATGCACCAGGCTTAGTGAAATCCACTGTTAGACAAATTCTGAAGAAGGCAGAGAAGATAAAGACATCATGTAATAAACTTCTAATTATATAATATATGCTGGTCAGACAGAGGATATACTTAGAAAGCATCTCCAAAGGGATTATGTGTAATGACCGAATGGCACTGGTTTGCTTACTGCTCCCATTTGCAAGAAAATATCTCCAATACTGAATAAGATAATACTGCTTTAAAATTTTATGTTATAACTAATATTTTAAGAAACTTGATTATATTTAATGGAGTACATTTTTTTGTTAAATATGGAAGTTAATCTTTTACCTGAAAAGGGAATAAATTTATCAAAATGATTAATTTCAGCCTTTAAAAAATATGTAGGGGAGTCAACTAAGAAAAAAACTAAATGATAAGTGTTCAAGAAATTTAAGAATTGATTTAATTTATTACATGTTAAATATTTCAGTTTTTGTTTTTGCCAATCTTTACTAAGGACATTCTTTCCATTGATTTCTAGAGTGGAAGCCAAGGGGAGAGACAGTGAGAAACATTGATGTGAGAAGGTTACTCTCCACATAGAATGGTTGCCTCTCGACTAGGGCCAGGGATCGAACTTGCAACCCAGTTACATGCCCTTGACTGGGCATCAAAACTGCAACCCTTTGGTCCAAGGGCTGTTGCTCTATGCACTGAGCAACACCGGCCAGGGCTCTTTCATTATAAAAAATTTTCTTTTGTTCATTGATTTTGAGAGAGAGAGATGTTGATGTGCGAGAAACATTGATTGGTTGCCTCCCGTACGCACCCCAACAGGGGATTGAACTCACAACCTAGGTATGTGCCCTGACTGGAAATCAAACCCACCACCTTTTGTTGTACAGGATGACACTAAAACCAACAGCCACTGGCCAGGGCTCAGTATTTTTTATTGAGATTTCCTGGGGAAAAGGGGAGACTACAGTATTGACTGCTGAATTGGGAATTTAAAGCAGAAAATGAGAACAATTAGATTTTTAAAATTGCATTGGGAATATAAAATTTTATCTTTTTCTCAGGTATATTAAAAATATTAAATAAAAAATTTAATAAGACATTAAAATTTTGACTATGAAAAAAATTTAACCTAATTCTAAAAGTTGAGATTAAGGGATAAGAGTGTGATGTATATGTGATTACAAAACTCAACTATGTTTTCTCTATTATCAATAAGAACTCTACTTTTAATTTTTTTCTGTGATAATTTATTTCAGCTTCATGGAGATTTCTGACCAAATTGAGGAACTCTATCTTGGGTTTGTTTGAGTTAATTGTCTTCTCTTTTTATGTTATTTCTTGTTGAAATTTCTATATGTGGGTGTTTTGGTATTTTGTATTTAATGTTTATGATACTGTCTTGTTAAATTACATATAGGTGTACCTAAATGTGCCTGAAGATGAATCAGGACAAGATTCCTTTCTCCCACCTGTATTTTGAATACATACAATTACTCATAGATTTGGATTTTTGTTTAAGTTTTCCTGTCACACTCTTCACTGTGTCTCAGAACCTATTTGATGGAAGTGCTATCGTGAAGAAGTGAACTTGCCAAAAGGCACGTGGCATGAAAGCAGACAAAAGAAGTAATGGGCCAATAAAATTGGTAATTTCTGAACGAAGGAAGTCTCTTCAAATGTGGAAGACGGTGTGTCATTCTATTCCCTCTATCAATTGGAAATTTCATACCTGGATCGATATTCGTTTGGGTTGCAGTGCCTATCAATGATTGGGACTAACCTAGTCCTATACCTGAACACATTGTAGAGCAATAATTGTCAGATATTTTTCCTGTGATATTTGAAGTTATTCCTTTCCTACTTCTCTGCTTCCATTCTTTTTTGATAGTAATCAGTGGTCAATAGCATTTTCCTTTTTGAACAAGAAAATCTTTGCTTTTTACCCTCCCAGTTTACATTATTGTTATCTTGATGGGACTTGTCTGTGTAACAATCTTTCTCACAATGTAACAAATTTAATATATATATATATACATGTATGTATATACATATATAAATATGTAGATTTCAGAGAGGAAGAGAGAGAGAGGTACATCAATGATGAGAGAGAATCATTGATGGTCTTCCCCCCCGTACGCCCCACACTGGGGATCAAGGCCACAATCTGGGCATGTGCCTTGATAGGGAATCAAACTGTGACCTCCTGGTTCATAGAGCCACACCACCCAGACAACAAATTTAACTTTGATCCATCCTTCAGTAACTTAGCTGAGACTAGCCCATTGGCTGCCTAATACCTGTTTTAGCCTTAAACCTTTTCCCCTGCACTTTCAGCCCTTACACTGAGACTCCGCACGCCACCACTGGTTTATTTCATCAAATATGCTACAACTAAGTGCTCAGATTCTCCCAAACTTTCCATGGAAATATTCTCACCTTTGTGTATATTACTCCCATACTCGAAACACTCCATTTTCTTTCACGTAGGTTATCTAAACTTTAGGTTCTAAAGCATATTCTGCTATTTCTTTAAAGCTCTGACCAAGTCTTGTATTTCCTGTTTCAAACATTTTAACCTTCCAAAGTCTGGTAGGTTGCCTTTTTCCCTTCCCCTGTCACATTTACATTTTGCTTTTTTTAAAATTTATTTTTTATTGATTTCAGAGAGGGAGAGAAATAGAAACATCAGTGATGAATAATTGATTGGCTGCCTCCTGCACGCCCCCTTCTAGGGATCCCTTCTAGGGATCCAGACATGTGCCCTTGACCGGAATCAAACCCAGTCCACAGACCTACGCTCTATCCACTGAGCCAAACCAGCCAGGGCTGCTGCTGCTTGCTTTTTTTTATTTTTTTAAACTTGAGCTGCGTGGATCTGGCTATTTGTTGGAATCAGAACCCATGAATTCACCCACACATTTTGCCAAATTCAATGGCTTTTCACAGGTCTTTATTCTTGCAGCTTTTGACAGCTGTCCATTTTCTCCCTAAACCACCTATTTCACACCACTGCCTGCATTGCCTGGGAAGGATTGTTTTAAATTCCTGGTTGCCTTGAGTCATTTAACCTACCCACCATCAACATAGATACATTTTACTTCTACACTTTGTGACTCAGCAACAAATCCTATCCAGCGAAAGCCCCCTTGTGGAAGCAAGAATTTCTTCAAATTTAATGTCACTGTAGGTTAAAGTGCAAATTCCTCCCCGAATTGCCTAGATCTGGTATAGACGAACCACACCAGCCTTCTCTCTCAACACGTTCAGATCCCGGCACTAATACACTATCACACCAAAAGCGCTTTATTTCTGCTCATTATTGTTGTTTATTCATGAACAGTAGTGGTTTTCAAGCTTCTCTGTCGTCCCCTAACTCTCCACTTCCTTCTACAAACACATTCCCACGAGTCCCTGGGGGGGGGAGGAGAGAGCCCGTTTGTGGGGCTGTGGCCTTGCAGCTCACCGGCTCCAATTTTTAAACCGACACGATTTTCTGAGGGAATATAGACATAGATATTGGTCCCCAGACATTCGAGAGCAGGTCGTCTCACCCCTTTTAAGGGCCATGAGGTTCTCTTGAGAAAGCATGGGTGGGTGGTCCAACCCGCTCGCCTGGGAGCGGACCCCGCGTGGCCCCGTGGCGGGGATGGGCCCACCGGGGAGTGCTCAGCGGCTGCCAGCACGGGAGCCTCCCCTCGCGGTGACCCTCGGGCCTCGGCAAGTCACGGAAGCCGCGGTTTTAGTTCCTGGAAAGTGGTAATGACCTTCCTGGGTGATGGCAAGAGGAATCCATCGTTCAGGAAAGGCACTCTGATAAACAGCAATGCTGCTGATGTGAACCGCGAGGCGGAGCGGCTGCACGCCCACCCGCGGAGGTCATCGCTTCCCCCGGCTCAGGAGCCCCGCCTCCGAAAGCCAGACGCGGCCGCTCGTCTCCATGGCAACCGCTCCGCTACCCCAGGCTCCGCCCCCAGCCCGCCGGGAGGACCGGAAGCAGCTTCCAGACCCCGCGCCCCGGCCCTCCCCGAGAGCGCGGGTCGTCCTTCCGCCCCGAGGTGAGCGCCGATGCCTCCCGTCCGTGGGCCCGAGGAGCGTCCGTCCCGGGGATGGGGGGCGGGGGGAGGGCGGTGCCACCGGGTGCAGCCCGCCTCTTCCTCCGCGCACCCCTCTTTAGACCCTCTGCACCTCATCACGCGCCCAGCGCTTCTCCTCTCGCGGCCCCGCATCTCTCGGCCGCTCCTCGCGGGTCCGCGCATCCTCGGGGGGTGGGGAAGGGGGGCTGTCTCTGGGTCCTTTCGGTCGCCAGCTCTCGGGGAGCTGGGCTCTCGCTCTCTGAAGAGAGGTTTCCAAGTGGGAGGCGGCTCTCTCCGCAGGTGCCTCCGGTCTCTGGACTGCGGGCGCAGCCCTTCCTCCCGGGACCGGGTGCGTTACCGGCTCTCTGCGGATCGGGGTCGGGGTGTCGCTCCCAGTCTCCTGTGTAGCGCTGAGCGCAACTGTGGGATGGCGCAGGCTCGGCGGC